GGTGTATGCCGACCGATACCGGCGCTTTGGAACACTCAGTCGTCCCAACGGACCACCACTCTGCCGCACGTCGGACTGAACGCAACACGAGTCTGGCTCTAGTCACACGCCCTCCACTATCTCTCCTACTGTATCGTCTTTCTCTGTCTCTCTCGTGGTCTCTCTGCCATTGCCAGTATCTGCTCTCACATCCCCGCCCCCATTCCACAGCCCCACTCTCCCACCTTCACCCGCCAACTTAGCAGATTTCAAACATTTCAGTAATTAGAAGTATAAGGGCCGTCTGCGGAGGGCTGTGCCAGAGGGTTACTGGCAGCAGGGCAGGGGGGGGGGGGGGGCGACGGGGGTAAAGTGAATGCGGAGAGCGAAAGAGTGAGACAGAGCGAGAGGCGAAGGCTGAGGCGGGGAGTAGAGGGGCGGAGCGTAGCGGGGCGGGACGGGGCGGGGCGTGGTGGTGCGCAACGAAGGGCCCATCATATTACACGAGATGAGCCGGGAAAAAAACGCCTGACTACGACCCTTTGCGAAGACCGGACCACACGATCACCCTGAACATCAAACTCTGAAATATTTTTTGGACAGACTGTTTTGGCACCATTATACCATGAAATTTGTCAAGGGGGCAGTCCGATGAAAATAGTGCAAGAAGTGTTTTTAGTATGTTTTTATTTTTTCAATTTTTTCTTCGATTAATGGACTCAGTGGCTAACACTTGCAAGTGTTAACTCCGTAGTTGATGTGCTTTGTAAGTGCGCATCTACAACTCCTGTAGAATGAGCAAGAAGAGAGAGAATTTGTACATGGTATGAAGGCTCTTTTAGTCTTTCTGTTTGCCTTACACTGCTGTGTGAGGTGCTCCGGTGTGCATCCTTGTCGCCGCTCTACTTCCGGTACCTCCGCAGGGAGAGTGCCTACATGATTAACACACTAACTAGATTTGTAGCTTTTTTATTTGTGCAAATTTAAGCAATCTAATGTTTTGCACACACTTCTACGTTGATTTGAACACGTTCTGGTGCATTCATTTGTACGAAATCATGCACTTTTGCCCACAAATATGTACGAAAATTCCACCTATGCTCTGATGATTGACTCACCCGGTAAGCGCCCAGGTCCTTGACGGTGCACGACATGCGGATGTTCCTTCCAGCCGGCGCCGTCACGTTCTCAATCTCGTCCACGAAGCTGGGGTCGGGCACCTTCTTCTCGTCCTTGTCAGTCGTCCCCGCTGCAATGGGAGCAGAACTTGAATGATAATGAAAAATAAAAGATAGAAAGAGAGTAGGGGAGGGGGTGAAAAGGAGAGGGGGGGGGAGAAGGAGAAAGCATGAAAAACAGGGGGAAGGACCAACAGAAATTGCGGGGAGTATGCCGATGAACCGGGTAGGGAGGCGTGCGCGAGACAGGGCGGTCGGAGGGGGTGACAAGAAGGTGGACGGAGGAATGAGCAGGGAAGAACCGAGAAAAATTACCAGAGAGGTGAGACACGAAGGACTGAAGAACGAACGATCCAACCCATCACCTCCAATAATTAATCAAACCGAATTATTGCAGTAGAAAGTATGAGCAGGTACACGAAACTGGGGGGTGTTACATGACAAAATAGTGTATACACTGTGAAAAATTTCCTCGTAAAGTTACGACATTTCTTGTAATTTGGAATTACAAAATAATATTGTAAATTTACGGTGGACCATTTTTGCTCCTCGATTAAGTCCAAGTCGATAGGAAGTGATTGTAATTTTACGACTTCAAGTTGTAAGTTTACGGACTCACATCATAGAAAATTTTCCTGTAAGCTTACGAGTATTTTTCACAGTGTACCAAGATTACAACCAAAGTGGATTTACCTGGGACTCCCTCGTACGTAGATGGTCCTACAGTCCAATAATACAACCGGGGGAAAGCCACAATGCGATCACCATCGAATATATTTTGATCACTAAGCGAAAAGAGTGACGTAACGAGGATGAGTTCCATTCAATAATACGCCCTCTTTTCAACGCATTCTTCCGGTTTGCGGTATTTCCTGCCAGGCAATTATTTTGGAGCCACAGGCAAAACATCCTTACATGGCTCC